CAGAAGATGCTTCTCCAGAATCAAAACATTTAGGAGTTAAAAAGGGCTTCTGGAAAACAGATTTGGAAATGCAACTATTCCTCGTGTTGTAAGCTCCAGTCCTCCAATCATCTTTCTTGCTCTTATCTGTACCCTTTTCTAGAGTCTCAACATCATTTTTATATCGTGGCGAGCAAAACTGGATGCGTTATTCCAAGCATGATCTTACCAAGGCATTATAAAGTGGTATTAATATTTCATGTGATCTTGTTAATGCAGCCTAGTTAATGACTGCCCTAAATTAGAAAACGATGGTGAAGTTTTGCATATGCCTAACCAGCCAGCCAGCCAATCAGAATTTCTGAAAATTTAATTGACTTTTGAGTTTCCAAATCATTTCACATCAACCAGTTGTCAGAACGATGATTTGAACTGAACCAATTATTCAGAGCGAAACTGATCCACAGCTCCTATGGGTTTGCACTTTTAGGATAAGGTAAAAGGTAAAGGTTCCCCTCGCACATACGTGCTAGTCGTTTCTGGCACTAGGGGGCAGTGCTCATCTCTGTTACAAAGCCGAAGAGCCAGCGCTGTCCCAAGACGTCTCCGTGGTCATGTGGCCGGCATGACTAAATGCCGAAGGCGCACGGAACACTGTTATGTTTCCACCAAGGTGGTCCCTATTTTTCTACTTGCACATTTACATGCTTTCGAACTGCTAGGTTGGCAGAAGCTGGGACAAGTAATGGGAGCTCATTCCGTTATGCGGCGCTAGGGATTCAAACCTCCAAACTGCTGACGTTTCTGATCGATAAGGTCAGTGTCTTAGCCACTGAGCCACCGTGTCCCTTTCACTTTTAGGATACATTTAATTGTGAGTCACACCAGGGTGACTGAGTCTGCGGGACAAACGGTACATATGGAACTAAAGCAAAGTACGCTTCATTTTGTAGCAGTGTCATGCCCCTGTCGGAGTCTGAATCTGAGGAGGAAGATGAACAGTTGACAGGGAGTGGGAGTGTGGCTCCGTTGGCTGTGGAGAAAACTGGGGAAGGGCAAAGTCCGACTGGGCAGAGCAGGAGAGAGGTAGAACAAGGGAGAGGGAGTTCAGAGGAAGACCCAGGCCCACCCCCTCTTCATCCTAGGGCATGCAGGGAGGAACGGAGAAGAGAGCAATGTTGGTTGCATGGCTTACAGGGTAGGAAAGGGCCCTGATTTCCTTCATTAGCCACAGCTGGGAAGAGAGTTTAAAAGAAATGCATGCTGAATGCAGCAGCTTCTGGGAACAAATGTGAGTTTATCTTGTATTGACTTTGGTTATCTGCGTTCCTGGCGTCTTCCCAACCATGTGGAGTTATTTGCTCTGTCTTCACGTCTGGAATTCTTGCTTCTGCCCTGCTGGACTCATTACCTCATCTTCCCTTGATTGGATTATAGTTACAGTTTTTGTTGACCACATTTTGGATTTGAATCTCTGCAGCTAAAGGCTGTTCCTTGGAGAGTTTTTCTCCAGCCCAGAAGGTAACCAGGACATTGGGGGCAAAGTTGGAGCTAATAAAGGGACTCCTACTGATTATCTGACTGTGTTGCCTTTGTGCATGCCCTGGATCATGATAAGCAGTGACATGAAACCAAGGAATGTACAGATCTTGATGGGAGCAGAGAGGGGGCAAATATATATATGTCAGGGACTTCCCCTTGGGAGTTTTATTTCCTTTTCTAAGACGGTTTAATGGCTTACTTTCACATCGCCTATATCAACATGTCACAAAACCCTGTACTTATTTTGGGTAATCTGGGTCAAAGGGGACTTCCTGGATCAAGAGGAGGAGTGTGAGACCTGCGGAGTTGGCTCAATGGGGAAGCATCATCCACAAATGAAGTCTCTCCTCTCAAGTTCCCATCTAAAGCTGCACGTTAGGGTGGGCCAACTGAAGAGGGATGATGGTCCCAAAGGTGCTTTTTTCAAAAGGCAACTGGACCCCCCCCCCCCCCCTTGAAGACGTTTCGCTTCTCATCCAAGAAGCTTCTTGGGCGAGAAGCTGAACCTCGTCAAGGAACCATCAAGTCCAGTTGCCTTTTGAAAAAGCACATTTGGGACAACCATAACTTGAGAATCTCCATAGACAATTGGGACTGATAAGTAAAGCATGAGAGATCTTTGACATTTTGTGATTACTCCACAAAGCAGGAAGGTTTGATTTCTGAGGAACAGCGCCACACTGGAGATTTCTGGAAAGGATGTGGGGAAATTGTTTTGTCTTGCTTCTCGACAGCAGACCTAGGCATTTTAAACCCCTGGCCACATCTGGCTCCTTTGGTTGCCCTTATCCAGCCCATGTAGATTGATTTTATTTTGAAGGTGAATAGAATAACAGAGTTGGAAGGGACCTTGGAAGTCTTCTAGCCTAGTTCTAGTCTTTCGGGCCTTTCTAGGTGGTCATGTGACTGGGTGGGCGTGGCCAACTCAATGTCACTCATGTTGACGGGTGCCTCACTGTCCTCTACTCCCCCCTCCCCCCCTTCCAGCCACTCCTTGCATGCCTGCCTGGGCTCCTTAGGGCCCCAACAGGAAGCTGTCGTTGGAGCTAAGCAGCCCTCAGGAGAGAGTTGGCCAAGCAGCTCAGTTCAAAATGGATCTGACCGAGAAGGAAACTCAGCAGAAACACCTCACTGAGAACTAGCAGCATAGGCTTTCCAAGCAGAGGGAAAATCTGCGGGAGTGCAAGGCCAGGTCCGGGCGCCTGGAGGCTCAGATGGTCAGCCAGTTCCAGGCCACGAGGCAGCCCCACTGGAACGAGGCCCTCCAGCCTTCGCCCAAAGCCCCACAGCAGGAGGCTGAGGCAGACCCCGAGTCAGAATTTCTGCCCCCCTCTGCCCCACACAAAAAGACTTCAAAGGGGGAGACTCTCTGCAGCAACACACTCATTGTACATATCCAGCCCAGGGACCGGAGTTTGAGGACCCCTGGTTTAGTGCAATATAAAAAATGCAAATCATTTTTCTGCCGACCACCAATATTTTCTCGCAGACCACCAGCTGGTGACCGCTGTCCTAGTCCAACCCCCTGCTCAGGCAGGATACCGTACACCACTTCAGACAAACGGTTATCCAATCTTTTCTTAAAACCTTCCAGTGTTGGGAGCATTTACAACTTCTGGAGGGAAGCTGTTCAACGGATTAATTGTTCTGTCAACAAAGGAGAATATTTGCAGCTCCTGGTTGAGAGGAGGGGTCCTTGGTGCTCTCTGAGCTTGGTTGTTTTCTTGCAGACGTTTTATTACCCAAATTAGGCACCATCATCAGTGTTAGTGACAATTTCTGGACAATTTCTCTATGCACACAAAAAAAAATCCACACATTAAAATAAAAATCATGATCTACATAGTTTCTGAACTGGCAAGAGAAATCACTTACACCTGGACAGCAAACAGCACTCATTAAATGACACGATTCACTTAACGGTCATCTTGCTTAGCAAGAAGTTCTAATTGCAGTTCTAAGTCAACTGGACCCTTCACTGATTCAATCAAACAATCAGAGTAGGGCTGGAAGGGATCTTGATGGTCTTCTTGTGCAACCCCCCTGCTCAAGATCCTATATCATTTAAGACAAGTGACTGCCCAGTCTTTTCTTCAACATGTCCATTGATGAAGCCCCCATATCTGAAGGGAAGCCATTCCACTGTTTAATTGTCCTAAGTTTCTTAATTCCAGGTTGCTACTCTCCTTGATTAGTTTCCATCTGTTGCTTCTTGTCCTCCCTTCAGGTGCTTTGCAGAACAGATCGATTCCCCCCTTCTTTAGGGCAGCCCCCCAAATCCTGGAATACTGTTATCATATCACCCCTACTCCGTCTTTTCTCTAGACTAGCCAAACCCAAATCCTGCAACCATTCCATGTTTGAGTCTCCAGGCCAACATCTCAGTTGCTCCTTTGCACTTTTTCCAAAGTCTCAACAACTTTCTTGTAATGTGGTGACCAAAACTGGATGCAGTATTGCAGGGGGGGGGGTCATATTAAGGCTTTATAAAGCAGGACTTTATATGATTTTGATTCTGTGCCTGTTTATAAAACCAAGGATTGTATCAGCTTTTTTGGCTGCTGCTGCATACTGCTGGCTCATGTTTAAGTCATGAGTATTCATTACAGACAATTCTAATATTTCCGGTATGTTTGCCCAAAGAATATATATGTATATTGGAAGTGGAGACACTTTGAGAGCTGTATGCAACAAAATTTCATTTTAATGTATGCCAATTAGTGCTTATCACCCATCCCCTCCCACTTGTGATTGTAGGACTGTAACTTTGTCGCTTGTATCCATCCTTACAATTTATATTGACTGTTTCCTAGTATGATTTGATTGATTGTACCCTATGACTATCATTTAAGTGTTGTACATTATGATTCTTGATCCTTAACGAATGTATCGTTTCTTTATGTATACGGAGTATTTACACCAAGACAAATTCCTTGTGTGTCCACACTTGACCAATAAAAGTATTCTATTCTATATTCAAAGTGACAATAGAGATATTCTAAGATATTCCCAAAGCAAATCCTTTGTTCCACTAATATGGGGGATCAGACTACAAATCCTAAACAAGCTGTCTGTGTGATAGGTCAGCTAACCCATCAGTTCAGGTCTAAGTTGATGTCAACCAACATAAAGAAAAACAATTAAACTGAACCATCGTATTTTTCCTCCTTTCCCTCATTCCTGATAGACTTGCCCGACACAATGTGAATTGATGGAGGCAAGTTTAGCTATTTGATAAGAGAATAGAAATGCTTAAACAGGTAGTACTCGACTCACAATCACAACCAAGCCCAAAATTTCTATTTGCTAAGTGAGAGTTTGAGTTCTGCGCCATTTTACAACTTGGTCTTGCCACAGTTGTTAAAGTGAATCACTGCAGCTGATAAGCTAGTAACGTGGCTGTTAAGTGAATTTGGCTTCCCCATTGACTCTGCTTGTCAAAAGGCCGCAAAAGTTGATCCCATGACCTTAGGGCACAGCAATTCCCAAGCACCTGAATTTTGATATTACGGGGATGCTGCAAACATCACTGTGAAAAATTTATTAGTAGTCTGGATTTGGGTGCACAAAGGACAGAAGATCCTGACACCCTTCATCTTATGTACGAAGGGTGTGTGCTTAAGTACTGCCCTTTCTTCTTGGAGGACACCCCTAGGAGAGCAGAAACAAACAAGTTTTGAGTCCTAGAAGCTGTCTACCCCACTACCAGCCTTAACGTGAAGGTCTCTCATCTTTTTAACCCATCTTAGCGAAGAAGGAAAGTGGTGCGAAGAACTGGCAGGAGCCTGAAGGCCAAATAAAGGGAGAGGGAAGAAATGAAAGAACGTCACACTTGCTAAGTAGGTATTATTTATTAAGGCTTGTATTCTCCTAGAGGAAAAAGTTAATCTGATGCTGCTCCATTACTCCTTACATCAGAAGTAACAGACAAAGCTATATGTTCTAAATACAAGTCTAAATGATACAGCTTAAAACTTTCATTTAAATTGGAGGTCCTCTTGTGTAAATATTGTTTTTCAGAAGATATCTGCTTTCTAATATAAGTAAAAGATCCTCTACAATTAAACACGTGCAGAATCAATGTGCTAGAGCAACAGGCATGAGCACCAAGAATTCATGCTAAATTTTTGAAAACTCCGGTTGGTGGCCACTTCTTCCGACAGCTTCCTCATTCCACAAAAACATGACAGAAGATTCATTTCTTAAAACAATTGTTTTTTTTTTTTTACTCATCCAACAGAAGAAATAGGCACACGCACACACAATCAATTTTAAACATCTGAAGCATAATCCATCGTATGAGTCTGAACTAAGATTCGAGATTAAAGCTCACCATTATTAGTATAAAATCTTAAGTGTCTTCCTTGAGAGGGTGAGTGGGGGAAAAAAGGGGGGGGAGAGATTAAAAGTAATGAATTTAATAATATTAAAAAGCAGGGGGAAATTAAAAGCCACGTTTTGCCCAAGCCCCTGCAATGTTGAACATATATTTAAAATGATTAAAAGCTACAGATAAAAGCAAAAAATTATGGTAGGAAACTTGTCAGCTTTTTCTTGCAAGATATGATACAACGCAGATGTTCACTAAAGTTCACCAATTATAGACAAAATAATTTAAGACGTAAAGTACAATCCATGAGGAATATTTCTCATGCAATATCCACAAAAAAATAACTGCAAATGATGAAAATGTACAATTGTATTTGTGTGAAATCCCATTTATACTTCTTGCATGTGAAATTGCCCCAGTGAATTACGCCTTTTTGATTTTCTGTAAGGAAGGCAGAAGTATACTTTAAAAAAAAAAATGTTTTAAAAATAACGAATGTGACAGATAAAATTGAACTTCATAAAATAACCCGAGCTTGCTAAATTAAATGTCAATACTTTTGACACAGGTTATTTCTAAAAAAAAAATACAAAACAAACTGGTATTTTTGTTTCTACTTGCCATAAGAATGAAACTGACTGTGGGAATGGTGAGACAAGGGGATCTGTGGTACATAAATATAAAAGCAATGACGTTTATTGTTTAGAAACATAATTTGTGCCGCAATTAAAAGTCTTTGGAAAAAGGCTAATATTTTCAAAATCTTCAGTTGTGGATAAACTTGTTTAACCAACTTAAATTTTTTTTAAAAAAAAAAACAAGAAATATCTTTATTAATGGATTCTACAGCATTTTACATAGAAAAGATTACAACTTAATGCATATTCAGCTGGGCAAACAAAAAACAAAAAACAAAACCCAACCCCTCCCACTACAGTGTACTTAAAAGATGCAAGATTTGAATTTCCCCTGCAAAAAAGAGATAGTGGAGCTGAAAGCTTTATAATCTCCTGATGCCAGAATACACAGCACCAAGGCATTTTTAAAAAAAGATTCAATTTTTCATAATCAAATTTAATATCAGTTCTAGTATGTATATATATATATATATAGATATGTATATATATATAGCAAACCATATATGCTTATTCTTATTGTTTATTTTGATTCTGACGTTCCTGCAAAGAGAAAAACAGGAAATTAGAATGTGAAAACCCAATAAAAACTCTTTATCCGTCCTAATTTTTTTACAAGCCGCGTCACCCTAAAACAATGGGATACCCAATCTTTTAAAATATGTTTTTGTTGCATGTACCCTGTGGCCTGCATATGATGTAGCAAGATTTACTTAAAATAAAAAACAAGGAAACTGCTTTCATGCCATGCTATATGTTTTAAACATACCACAATATAGCTTTTCATGATAATTTTAACTCTTAAAGCTAAACTAGGATACCTAAAGTCAGTGTTTTCTGTAAAATTAAGAAATACTCCAAATACAGAGAAGTACATTTCTTTGTAAATTACAAGTAACACCTTAAAACCAGGTTTAAAGGAGTATGTTTTGTAGTTTCTAGAACTCTATGGAAAGTGACTTTACTGATGGAAAGTAATGTAATCCATGGTACATTTAACTTTGTCTCTGCTGGGGGGGGGGGTGTTCATAGAAAATAGATATGAATGGATTATATAACGCGAAAACATTTTTCCAAGAGTGTATATAAGGAACTTTAATCTTCAATGTAGCCTTCTTCTCATCAGAAATAGGTATCATAAAGTACATAGTTTCAGCACAGACCCACAAGCCTGTTATTTTAAGGGGAGAAAAACATTTTATAGTTTGGCCCAAAGGTGCTTTTTCAAAAAGCAAGGGGGCTTTGTTTTTTCCTTGAAGATGTTTCGCTTCTCATCCAAGAAGCTTCTTCAGATTTCTGTTCAGTTCAACTGAAGAAGCTTCTTGGATGAGAAGGAAAACATCTTCAAGGCAAAAACAAGAAAGTCCAGTTGCCTTTTGAAAAAGCACCTTTGGGACAGCCATGACCTGGATGACTGAGAATCTTCACAATTTGTAGTTTGGGATTTTCTTCTGTGAAAACTTTCTGAATCACAATTTTAAAAATGGTGGCTTCAATACCCTGAACAAGTGATGGCTTCTGTTTGGATGTGGTCTTCAACAAGATGGTATAGCATCTATTTCCCATTCAACATCCTCTCATTCCTATTATTTTCATGGTTTTCAAAGGGCTTAGATTAATAAATAGTTTGTCTCCTCAATTTTTTAAATGTTAAAAGGCCTTAAAACCTCTGTGAGCGAAAACCCTTTGGCTGATCAACAGGATAAAAAAGTATATAGCCTAATCGAGGTAAATCATGCAAATATTTTGAAGGGTACATTAGACCTGCATGTCTTCAAGCACAGTCTCAGCCATTTGCAGGTTCTGCATCACTTCTGAAACTGAATGGGATCTTAAAAACAAGGAAATACAGTACTCGAAATCTTCCAAGTTTGCTTAGGCCGATGACTACTCCTTAGAAACAAAACTACTGCAGATGCACACTTCACTGCCTAAAGCATGTTCGTGCTAAAAAAAAAGGGCTACGTGGAAGCTTTTACATTTCAGTAACTCCAAAGCCACAATCCATGCTGATCTTTTAAGGTGAAAGAAGCAGAAAACGCTATCCAGAAGGCAAGTTTATTTTGCACCAAGAAATCTGCTTCTTTTTTCCCCTGTGGGTATCAGTTGTATGCATTAATTTATATGTCAGCCTAAATCTAATTGCTCTGTTGTGTTCTGTAAATTATTTGCAAATATTTGATAGTTACTGGTGTAGCTAAAATAACATTTTTGTAAAATAAATAATGCCATTTGAATAGAATGACCTGTCATGCCATTATTGCAATGCAAGGTGAGATCATTTTGTTCTGAGCTTCAGTGTAAACAATTTAAGCTGGTGCAAGCACACACAGAAATTCTACAAGCAAATATTCAGTTGAGAACATTCTCTTCTGTTCCTAATGGAATTTGGGAAGTAAAGATACCACCTGAAATTTCAGGTAATTCAACTAAGCTTACAAAAAGAACAGAAATACTCCAGTCTTACATTATTCCGGGGCAGAACCACATCCTTACAACTCACAAACTAATAAGTCATCTTCAATTGGACTCCACTCGTGATGACATATACTGCAGTATTTCTGCCACTTTCTCAGGGTGATATGAAACTACAGGTAGTCCTTGATTTACAACAGTTCATTTGGTGACCATCCGAAGTTACAATGGTGCTAAAAAAAGTGATTCATGACTGTTTTTCACATGATCGTTGGAAGCATTTCCATGGTCACACGATCAAAATTTGGATGCTCAGCAACTGGTTCAAATTTAATGACAGGTTCAGGGGTCCCGTGATCCCCTTTTGCAACCTCCTGACAAGCAAAGTCAATGGGGAAGCCAGATTCACTTAACTACCTTGTTACTAACTTAACAGTTGCAGCGATTCACTTAACAAGAAAGACATGGCAAGAAAGGTCATAAAACAGGGCAAAATTCACCCAACCAGTATCTCACTTAGCAACATAAATTTGGGGCTCAACTGTGGTTGTAAGTGAAGGAGTATCTGTAGTTTGCCTTTGCTTTTTATCTATATGTGCCAGTCAGCATACATCTCCAATTTTCCAGTTAATGTGATATGCACATAGGAAGCTAAGTCAGCCATACTTGATTAGATGCTGCAATCTACCTGGGCAACGTGTAGACCAAAGAGCTCTTAAAACCAGTAACTATAAGCCTGACACCAGTGGAAAAACTGCAGCTGAGATACAACATAGTGCAGTGGAACCAACCATTTTTAACAGCAGCTGATAAAAAGAAATTAATTCTGTAAGCCTAATAGGCACCTAACTGTGGCCGATTAATATAAATATACAGAAACATTTCCCAGATCTCACTTTTAACAATGAACTCAGTGTCACAGCAACTCTTGTTTACTCACACTTCTGACTTTTGTGCTTATTTTACCCTCCATTTTTATTTTACGCCAGGTACCTGAGAAAACTCATGAGTTCTACCATAATGTGGATTTGCAATTACTATTTTTTAAAATAAGGATAAATTCTTATGTTCCAGCATTTTGGAGAAACTAAACAGTCTATGCTTCTATTTTGTGCTATGGCTTAGTTATTAATGACCTTAAAGAGATATTTGATAAATCTCATTTACAGGTGAATTTTATAATCTTTATAGTGTTTTCCTTTTAAAACCTCAATGGTTCTTTTGGTTTTGGTTAAATCTATCATTGCCACAATGTTTCATTGAGGATGCACTATCATATTGTATTAATAATGTTACAATCAATCAGTTTTACACATATTAAAATAGATCCTATAATTGAGAAGTACACTAATATTTTTTTTCTAAATAGGAGTATTGTGCAAAATTTCAAATTCAAAATACTTCACGTCAAGATAGAATCAATTGTTCTGTGTTTGAAACGGGCTTGCTCAATAATTCTGAAAGCATAATGAGCTTGAGACACCTCAAAAAAGGTTGAAACAGACCACTTTGAACATCAAATAATTGCTTTTGGACAAAATGTGGCATTCTGGATTTGTAAGGTTTTGCATGCCTGTGCTAAGGAGATACCAATATCCAATTTGTGTAAAAAGGCTTTCATTTCCACATGGATACTTTTTAAGCCCTTCCTTCAAATAGCAGCCAGAATATCCCATGTAAGGAACAAAAAACTGCCAATTGTGAGTTTCTTTCTTGCACTCCTCTTTAAAGTAGAAACACATCTAGCTCTTGCATGGATGAGCGATTTATATTTCACTTACAGGTAGTCCTCGACTTATAACCGTTTAGTGACAGTTCTAAGTCACAATGGCACTAAAGAAAGGGACTTATGACCATTTTTCATGCTTATGACCATTGCAGCACCCATGATCACCTGATCAAAATTCAGTCTTATTTATGACAGTTGTGGTGTATTGGGGGGTCATGTGATCCCTTTTTTGTGACCTTCCGACAAGCAAAATCAATGGAGAAGCCAGATTCATTCAACAACCACATTGCTAATTTAACAATTGCAACAAGAAAGGTCGTAAAATGGGGCAAAACTCACTAAACCAATGTTTCACTTAGCCACAGAAATTTTAGGCTCGGTTATGGTCGTATGTCGAGGACTACCTGTATTTTCCTGTATCAGCCTACATCCATTACAGCACTGAAAACTAAGCCATATTTAACAAAGCAAACACATCTCAACTTTTTGGCCTATTACAATAAAGCAGGTTTTAAAAAAAGAAAGTGGTAGGGTTGAAGCCTTGTGGGTTAAATCTGAAGAACACGCAATATCTACCTTCGAAATAAGTTTCCTTTAAAAAAAAAAAAAAAAAGGACAGTCCCTTTGCAAACCACTCAACTCCCATTTCACCTCCAGGGTGGACTTCTTCCCCCAACTGAATTAAAATGTTCTAAAGCCAGTTTACCTTTCGTACCACTTCTTCCTCCTCCTGGCGCTTTTCGTAATGGGAAAAGTCATCGAAGATGGAGGTCGTGTGCTTGTACATAGCAATAATTTTAAGCACTTGCTTCGCTTTTTCTAAGGGCACCTCCTGAGTGTCACGGGAGTTTGTCACTGGCTTGTTGTCATTGTTCTCCAGCCTGATGTGTCGAAGCTGGTTGTTGGGAACATCTTTCACAAAGATCCACTTGACGTCAAACTTCCCCTTCCATTTGTCCTGGGACCACACGCCGGCACTGGTGCCGTAGTCCACCGACGACTTCATTTCTGCTACGCCACAAAAATGTCCACTGCCGTTGACGCTGAAGAGTAAATAGACCGGGCCTTTACTATTCATCGAGCGGAACGCGCTGTCCAAACGTTTGTTGCCATGTTCTGTGCTACACCAAATGGAGTATTTGATGGAACGGTGGATATCGTCCTCGGAGTAACTCTTGATGATGAATATGCGTCCGTTTTTGAGGTTCCACTCGAAATCCTTGGGGTTGTAACTGTGAGCAGCCTTCAGTTTTTCGAGAACGGGGTGGGACTCGCTGCCGGCTCCTCCTCCACTAGGGATGGTGTTCGCTGGAGTATTCCCGGGTGGGTTGCTTTCATTACCGGTTCCTACGCTTTGGCCAAAAGCTGCATTGCGGTTGCGGGGTGCCACCCATCGGTTTTGAGGGGGCGGCGGCTGAGGGTTCTGGTAGGGCAGCTGGGTCAGCGGGGGCGGCTGGGCTGGAATTGGCTGAATGATCTGTGGCTGTGGGATGGACTGAGGAGAAGGGATCGGTTGTTGAGGAGTCGGGATTTTGGGCATGGGGCCTTTATTGTCCCAAGTACCTATGTCCATGTTATGTTTGATAGGCGGCGGAGGCAAAGCCCCTCCTATTACAGGCCCGCTTTTCACTTTCATTTTGGGTTGGGGCTTTGCAGGTTTGCTAGCAATAGCGGCCCAAGAGGTTGGCTTTGATACTGGCAGGTTGAGATTCGATCCGCCATTGCCGGACAATGCATTCGCCATCCCAGCACTGTTTACCACCGAGCCTACGGTTTTCACGGCAGAAGCCGTGACGTCCCCGCCGATCTTCAGTCCAACCATTCCCTGTTCGATGCTATTCATTCCGGGCGCTTTATTCAAAGTATCGTTATGAAATCCCGTTTGCCCGTCCACAATCGTACCCCCAAGGGAGCTAGGTGGGTAACTGTAACTGCTTCCGTAAGCCGAGTTCTGGGTCTGCTGCCCCTGAGAGCCACTCGTTCCCCATGCTGAGAAAGGAGGGTTTTCAGGGAAAAAATTAAACCGGTGTGGATAAATGTTGTTCCCCAGTCCGCCAGGCTGTCCAAACACAGCATCGTGCATGAAGTGATGATCGCCATTACTCAGCTGTCCATAGGGTGTAAGGTATGGGATAGGAGGGTCTCCTCCGGTTGACCAGGGAGCTTCACTCAGAGAGTAGGGAAAGCTAATAGAAGGTGGATAATAACTGGACAAGTAGGGATCGGTCATTGATGGATAGCTGTTGCTCTGTTAAACGACAAAGCCGCAATTTCAGTTTACCACATTATTTAAAGTCGAAAAATATTCAGGAAAGTTCAAATCCACTCTACAATATAAAAGACTATGAGGTTCTTGGGTTCTCTTTTATTGATAAAAGACTTTAAATGCCTTAAAACATGAATACATGTCTCTTGCTTCTTAACTCTTTCAAAATTAAGGCAGGACAATTCTTTCACATGGTTTCTCACTGACTACTTCAAGGATTCATCACAAGATCACAAAGCAATTTGAATAGACATGTTTTGTTTGAAAATCTGCAGTTCAGATAAGTGAGAAGTTATTTTTAAACTTCTTTCACAGTACAGTAATATGTTAGAGCTAAATTAATTTGACTGTTTTTGAACTGTTCTCAAACATATAACATTATGCAGTTATATTAAATCTTAGTAAAATCAAATATTTGTAGATTGACTAAACCATGTACTGATCTGAAACAAAATCTGTGCAAATTATGCATTTTAACAAAAAGAACCTGAAGACTAAATGCAGACTCAAGTGCGTTCATATTAAGGAATATAATAAAAATTCCCCATTTGATTTATTAATCTGTCATGTTACTTAATTTTCCATAACCACACAAATTCTGGCCTTTTAAAATCATTGTCTCTTTGTTTCACGTTTTGTTTGCTCACATCATTAATTTTCTTTGCATTCCACACCCATTCTCGATTCAACTTACCTATTTAAAATCACATTGCTTAACTGTCCATTTTGCTAGCTATTTTTGAAACCATCCTTCTACTTAGTGATTCCAGTTCAATTCACCTCTAGCCTGATCCCAGCAGTGTCATTCTTTCTCAATATTTTCTGCAAATCTACCTTCTTTGCGAGGTACATTGGCTCATTTTCTGTCAATGCTCATAGAACTCTCACATTGCTTTTAAACTCCGTACCATATGAATCGGGAGTCTTCGTGTTATATCATGTAGCCAGTGCTATCTTCACTCAATCTCTCTGAAAGCTTACCTCTTCTGTTCACCTTTTTCTACAGCTTGAAATGCTCCCCAGTACAATGCCCTGATATGTGCTTTAGAGCAGAGTTCTCCAATGTTTCTGGCTTTGCGGACTGGGGTGGGGAGGGGGGATGGTTCCACGCAAGCGGCCAGCAAGCCCACACGCAGCTCCATTTGCACAAATGGCATGCATGTGCGCCTGCTGCTCACCCAAATGGAACATGTGCACGCTTCTTGTGCAAGTGAGGATGCGTGCACATGGGTGTGTGCTCACTGGCCATTTCTGCAGCCCAGTTGCTATCCCCTTGCAGCCACTAGTGGGCCACGGACCATAGCTTGGGGGGGGGGGGGCTGCTTTAGAGGATTGGCTTAACCTTCAAGGTAAACCCGAGCAGTACATGGAATGGAAAATTTGAGCGGATGCTGTTCTATCACTATTGACTACACAGGGGTGTCAAACTCGATTTCACTGAAGGACACATTAGGGTTGTGTTTGACCTTGGGGGGGGGGGGGGCTGGCGGGGCCAGGGGGCACGGCCAGCTGGATGTCAGTTGTGTCGGGGGCACCTGTGGTGCCCAAGCGCTCTGCCAGTAAAAATGGGCTTCCAAGCTTTTTTTTGGCTGCGACGGCTTCCTGCAACCCTCTGCCAGCAAAAATGGAGCTCGAGGGCTGCCTGCAGCCCTCCTGAGCTCCCTTTGCATTGGCAGAGCCACCACGGGCCACTCCTTTGCTGTTTCCAGGGCAGCCCCACAGGCCAAATCTAAGCACCCCACGGGCCAAATCCAGCACAGGGGCCTTGAGTTTTTCACCCCGTACTACACATTAGTTTTTCAGAAGACTATTATATCCTTTGAATGGGCATACACACACAAATCTTTCAAAATTGCGTACCGTTAACCCCTTCTGGGAAACTGAAGCCCATTTTAGTCAATTATTGACTACCAAAAATATAGAAGGCAGTCATAAGACAAGATACACAGTCAAAATAGAGTTCTTATCATTAAGAAGAACCTATCGCATCTGGCAGAAGAGGGGTGCTATGGGTGCCATCTGCCAAAGAGCTACGTATTGGGTGGAACCCAAGAGGTGGGCTTTTTCTAAATTGGTGCCCACCTTATGGAATATCACGACTCCATGTCATAAACCTGGTTGTGTCATCAGGCCTGGGGACCCCAAGGAACTGGTGAGGTGCTAAGTGATTCCATTAAGCACCCCACGGTTTTTTGCCTTTCAATAACATTTTTAAATTCTTTGTACTTGTACCACTGTTTTATGGTTTTTATTGTCAGGTTTTTCATGAGGTGGGTAGCCATATAAATATGATCAATAAACAAGCCAATAAAATTTGAAATAGGAAGTCCTAAAGCTGGATTACAGAGTAAAAAGATACTATATAATTTAATAAAAATTGGAAATATCAAGTTAATCCTGATCCAGTCAATCCAATTTAATATTCTAAAATGGTAACAGTTTCAACTTTAACTCACAAGAAAAATAGTTTTACTTTGAAAATGAGTACTGTACAAAGAATTCATAAAATTCAGGGCTAATGTGGATTTACTTAAGCCAGTACTATTATTATAAATTCAATGAGAATAATATGTATTCAACAAGGATAATATGAATTATAAGTGGCGTTTGATTGTGTCTGTGCTAGAAAAAAATCCTTTTAAACAAATTTCACTGCTTCCAACTGACAAGTTTAAAATCCCTTTTAAAAAATCAAATCACTTTTCAGGCATATAGACTAACCTGATTTGACTGTCCAGAAAGATAAGGCTCAAAATCATTGTCATGCACTGTATCCTTCTGATGAAGTGAACCATTTTGCACTGAAACAAAAGAGCTGCAATTATAACAAGTATACTTTGAAGTTTCAGTAAAGATCTGTTTTCTAAAGTATGACAGTATACACAAATAGAACTGTTTTATTTCTATTTAGAGAGGGGAGGGAAAGGTCAGATTTCAACAGGATGAAAAACACTTCCACATGCCCTCAAGATACCATTGTTCCTTATAAAAACTATCTAAATGACAGTTACTGAATACCCCACAAACAGGTTTTTCAACAACCAGCAACAGAGTTTTGTTAAGATCATGAGTAAGACTCTCAGAATGAATTAAAATGTACTTGTCCAGGAAAGGAAAGCTGGAGTATTTAGTGTAAGCAGGAAGCCAAAACTGAGAGGCCTTCAAGTCAGCTAGCATGCCAGAAAAAAGATCAATAACATGCTGAATGAATGGCCTTTATAAAGCTCAACCCCTGAAGGTGACATGGATTCTGTATATTGTATAGCACTTGTTAGGGGCAAGTTAAATAGACTTCTGTGTTTTTGATGATATGCACCTCATTATTTAGTAACTTGTAATGGTTTCTGCAACCTTTTGAATTTCACTCTAATAAGCTTTTTACATGTCCTTCAATGTGATAAATCATTAGCACATTTGTTTTTTAACAAAACACAAGCTGCCAATCACGGACCACATCCTGTTGCCAATCATGGATTACATTCTGTCATAACAAATAATGAAGACGAATGCTAGACATGCTCTTATTTCACTCAAGACCCCAATGTGATTTTTAAAAAACTTCTGATTTATCTTTGAATTTAAATTGGTTGTTTTAATGTTTTTTATGTATTTTTATTGCTTTATTAGGTATGCTTGCCACCCAGTATCCTCATGTGAGACGGGCAGTTATAGGAATGAGATTAAATAATGTACATATGTACAGAAACATATACAGAAATTCCAGAGTATAAACTATACAGAAAGTTGCTAACCAAGAAAAAATGACAGCCATTAATAAAACTGCTTATTATGCATGCTGCAATCATCAGAAAAGTATGATTTATGTATATTATATTGATCATTAACATTTACGTAGTCGTCCTCATTTAGTGACCAATGGTACTGAATAAAAGTGACTTTTGACCAGTTTTACACTTAAGACTGCTACAGCACCCCCGTGGACACATAATCAAAATTCAGATGTTTGGCAATTGACTTATATTTATGACGGTTCCAATGTCCTGGGATCATGTGATCTCCTTTTGCAAACTTCTGATAAGCAAACTCAATGGGGAAGTGAAATTCACTTAACTGTGTTATTAACTTAACCACACTGATTCACTTAACTTTGGCAAGAAAGGTCATAAAATGGGGGCAAACTTACCATCTTGCTTATCGAGAGAAATTTTTGGCTCCATTGTGGTCGTTACATTGAGGACTACTTTTATGTACATTGTGTGCAGCTGAATTTATTGTGCTAATTAAACTTTAGCTTATGGAATTAAATTTGCTCCAGTGCTATTGCACTGAGGAATAATTTGATTTTAATTCTATGTTACTTCATTTTGCATATGTAGTTTATACTGCGTATTGTTAAAGAAAAGCTTAGTTAACAGTATGAAATAAGCAATTAAACTATGCCATAAATATAAACACAACCATCAGATACTTCACTTTTTTAATATATATATTTTAATAATATATGTTTTTTAAACATATACAGGTAGTGCTTAACTTACATTTCTTTTAGTGACAGAATTTACAACAGCAATGAAAAAATTGACCTACGACTGTTTTTCCCATTTACAACCATTGCCGTATCCCTGTAGTCATGTGATCAAAATCCAGATGCTTGGTAACTGACTCCTATTTATGATGGTTGCAGTGTCCTGGGGACATGTGATCACCTTGTGTGACCTTCAACAAGGAAAATCAATGGGGAAGACAGATTCACTTAACAACTGTGTTACTAACTTGACAATTGCAGGGATTCCCTTAAGAACTGTGGCAAGAAAGGTCAGAAAATGAGGCAAAACTCACTTAACCGTTTCACTTAGCAACAGAAATGCTGGGCTCAATTGTTGTCGTAAGTCGAAGACTACCCATACATGTATATGCTACAAATACAAGGTTAATTTTTTTTGAAAGATTAAAATTCCACATTATCTACAAATGTAAACATAGAATCTTTCATAATAAGCATTTCTTTGAACATGTAAATGTTATCTTATTTTTGCACTTTGATGCTAAAATATGAGAATTAGTTTGCTATTACTAAAAATAAGATGTACTAATTATGTCCAAATTCACAGCAGGTTTAACAGGATTGGCGATTTTGCCATTGATCTGTCTTTCAGGAACTCCCCCATCAAATACTACTATTTCAGATATAAGATCTACATCTTGCACTCCCAAACAAGTTCAACTTTTTGGAAGAAGTGCTCCCAAAATAGCTTCAGTGGGAAAAGAGGGATGATGTGTCAAGTCTCATGATTTATAATCTCATAATGTTCCAATGACAGAAGAAGGAGTTGTACTTGCAGTACAAAATTATTACTATCTTGGAAATTTATTATTTTTTACTTTTGATTTTTCTTAAGGAAAAACACTCTTTCAAAGAGAACGTTCTGACTTTTAGAAACAAGTGTCTGCAGAAAACATTATTTTAATTATTTTGAAGATTTAAGTTTGTTACAACTTGCTTTGTGAGGTTTTTATTCTGAAAAATACAGAAATTAATAAATTTTAAGATTAAATCCTAGATAAAAATCCAATAAGCTGCACAGACACTTGTAGGACTGAATGTATATATATGAATTACCTCACTGAGAATTATAAAGAAACAACAAAACACAGGCTTTTCATTTTTTAATGAATCACAACCAAACATTTGCATGAATATATTCATATAAATCTGTTATCAGAAGAACTATCTTTAAGATTAGAACATTTCTTACCTTTATTATCCTGACCTTTCGCTCTCTGTCATGCCATAGCACAGGGTACAATAAAAGAGACAAAACAAATATTTGTCATTTGTTGAGACCTCAGAATAAAGCAAACTATCATCTATTGAAAATGTGCAACAGTGATACAATATTGTATTATATATTCAAGACAAATGAGCCTGTTTAGGTATTTAAAACTAGGTAATTCTCAACCACAAGATCTTCTCTGGCTTTAACTTTACTTTCTACAAGTGTAATGTCTTTGATCAAATATAGCATGATTTTGAAAATATTTACATATATTAAATCAGCTTACTAATTGTATAATAGGGTTTCGTGGCCTTTCAGGATATTGGAAACAAATAGCCACCTGTTAATAATATAATGTAATAATGTGATTAAGGATTCAGTATTTTTTAAAGAGGAAATAAAAGGGATGGTAAGAAATTCAGAGTTACAGACTATAGGGAAAACATGTAGCCTTTCTATTCTATTCTTTCTACATATAACCATATTACATATTACCATATACAATATTGATATGCAGTACATTTTGAATCTGAAATGCCTCCCAAATCTCTTTTGCATCTGAAGTGGGCATTGCTTACCACTGAGAAATGTTATGAGCACAAACTATTCTTTTTCAACAGTTGTTTTGACCATGAGTTTGAATTCAAAACTTTTCACAAATCCTTAATGTGCATTTTAAGTTACCAGATAAACATATAAAAGAAAAAGGAATGGTTCTTGGAGGACCTAGAAAAGCAGCAAGCCTTGAAATATTATCCGATATGCAAGATGTTGGATTTCAACAGGGATATGCACATAGACATATGTATATGTTCTCTCAGTATATAAAGAGAAAAGGGGAGGGGGCAAAAATGTCAAGAAAAAAGTCTTGAGAAATTCAGAGAAATGTCTCTCCACACAATGAAATGGTAGCATGTAAAGAAACAAGAAATGAGAAATAAACTTAAGTACCACCTATGTCCCCTTAGGCAAGTCATGATGTCTGAGACTCCGATTTCTTAACATGTGAATTATACTATTCATTTTACAGCACCAGTAAGATTACAAGAAATAATACTGAACTATTTAAATACTACAAAGCAATTATAAGGGCAATATATACTTTTGAAGTCACGAGCAATAGTGCTTTTGGAAGTTCTCTCTTTTTTTTAAAAAAAAAAATCTTCTTGGGATACAAAATTAGATGGGAATATTTACTCCCATCTAAAAGCCAAACTCCTAGAATGAGACTGATCTTTAAAACTGAAAGTGGGAGGGCCTGGATCTATGAAGACTGAAACAGCTGACACAAGAAGAAACAATTATAGTAAAATTATTAAACGTCTGCCTAAGGATTGATGCTCAAAACAGAAACACACCGACATCAAGTACAGTCAAGAAAATAAAAGTAGGGCCTAGAAGAGAAACAGGAAGCTAGAAGCTAGCAAGGACATTCCTAGGAACTAGTGCGGAACTAGTAACTTAAAGCTGCTCAGGACACAGAAACTTAATATCCAGGGGGATCTGGTCTTCAGTAACTAGCTAAAAATGGCTTTGGGTGGCTTGCTCCAACCTAACCCAAGAGTCCAAATTCAGATCCACCACCCAAAGGTGCGTTGTAAAATGTTGCTGATCAGGGTTTCTCTTGGACTCTGAGCTCAGCAGGAGGGTCGTCCTCTCTTTTTATATTCTGACATTAAGTGGGGACTCAAAAGCTACCAGGCCGTCCTCCAAAGTAGTTAAGAAAGTGAGGGGGGGTTGGGGGGGGGAAACGACACAGCCAAGCAACCCAAAATCGAACAGGGCCAGGTAATCTTTTAGGGGCCAAGAAGACTCGCACTTAACAAAGGCATGAAGGAAGAGAAGAAGGGAAAGGACGGGAGGGAGGAAGAGAAGGAAGGGACGAGAAAGCCAAAGCCGTTCGCCCAAAGAGCAGAGAAGGGGCTTTCTTCTTCCTTTGAACCTCGCTGGCTGGGTTGCTTCCTCCCCCCCCCCCGCACGGGCTTGGACTACATCTCCCATCATGCTCCCTTTGCGAAGCCTGGCTTCGATCAAGGCTGGCGGGCCGGGGGGGGGGGGAGAGAAAGGAAGCAGAGCGCCTTCCCCGCATCCATGGGAAAAAAACAACGCGTTATGCCCGAGGAAGGATTGGTCGAGAGCCAAGGAAGGCAGGGCTGGGGGGGGGGGGGGGGGAGAAGGAAGGAAAGAAGGGGAGCTGGGAAAAATAAAAGAGGGATGCGGCCGGGCCTTCCACCCCCTCCTATTGACTTACCTGGGGGTCAACGCTAGTGGCAGACATCTCTCATGCGCCCTGAAATAGAGGGGAGGGGGGGCTGGGAGGGGGAAAGGGAAGAGGAGTGAAGGGGCGGGGCCAAGCACGAGCGCGCGCTCTCCCTCCCCCGCTCCTCCTCCTCTCCCCCCCAAGAGAAGGGGGCCTAAGCGCACGCGCGGGGGGTGCGTGGGAAGGCGGGGGCTGTAAGAAAGGAGAGCGGGAGCGTTAGGTCAAGGAAAGGAGGGAGGGAGGGGGGGAAAAAAGGGCCGCGCGCACGCGCGCTGGCTCGTCCGTGCGCGTGCTCGTTTCTTTCCCTCACATCCTTCGCCTCCACACACGCACGCACAAGGAGATGAGGGAGGGGGGAGGGGAAAAGAGAAAAGGCCAGCCGCTGCTGCTGTTTGCTGCTGCGCGCTCGCCGGTCCTTCTTCTCGCTTTCCCCGGCTCTTAGCCTCGAGACTTCTGTATCCTCGCCGCCGCCTCCCTCGCCTTTCCTTGAAAAAAAAAAAAACGGCGGGGCCGGAAGGCAAAAGGAGACTCCCAGGCAGCCGGAGGAGCCTTCGAACTCCAATGGCGGCGGAGACCGGGCTCCGGTGACGTCAACGCCTCGGCTGCGCGGAGCATGCCGGGAAGGGAAGGAAAAAAAAAAAAAAAGCAAAGGGCCACCGCGCGCTCGCCGACCAAGGTGGGGGGGGGAGAGGAAAGCATCACCTGCCGGGCATGCGCACGAACGAGATGGCCGTTACGCCGACCAGTTCTGCCCAGTTTTTAAGTTCCCGCCCAATCCTCCATGGAGGTCGGGTGATTGGCAGGCTGGCGGGTGGGATCAGGAAAGAGTCGGAGCCAATCGGAATAACAGAAAAAGCTGAGGGGGATATCATGGCCGATCTCTGTCTCCCAAAATAGCTCCATTCATGTCTAATCCCCATACTCACTTTGAGGATGGGTGTGGGAAATGGACACTTTCCCCCATGAGGCGGCTTCGTTTTTGATTGTCGCGTGGCAGGTAGAAGTTCAACCGGTGTGGCCCGGACATGTGGCCTAATGCTACCTGTTGAACTTTGATACCTCAATAGCAGAAAAAAGCCTGCCTTCTTCTGGCCTTATTAAGGAGGACCAGGCGATGGTTGAGTTCAGACAAAAAGCTCAAATCATAGTTTGTGTAACTGGATTATTGGGGTCATGTCACATCCTCTTCTGGAGAACATTAACGAGTTCCCTGATGAACATAATTATCAATTTTGTTTTGCGCCCCTTTGAGTATGATAAGCAGGACAGTACATTGTACTAAACTATGGTTTTTTTAATCATGGTTCGTTATTATCTTTATTGTCAGACTACAACATGCATACAATAAAACTGGCTGAGCCTCCCTTCGTGCACCCTCCCCCCAACACAACTCACAGTGAGGACAGAAGTCCCTAACCCAGACCCAATCTTATTACACTATCTGACCTTGTTGCACAACGCACCATCCCTGCAAGTCTATCCTACTATGTTGACATGAAGTTATTTTCCATTCAGGACTCTGACAGCCCACGGGTAGAAACTGTTCTTCACCCTGTTGGTGTGGCTGGCTATGCCTTTATATCTCCTACCGGATGATAGGAGAGTGCAGAAGTGCTGACTGGGGTGTGAGTAGACCCTGGGAATTTTCCTCGCTCTTCTAAGGCAGCGAGCCCTAGCGGGGTCATCTAGTGCAGGGGTTGCCAATCTTTTGGACCTCAGGGACCACCAAACTCATAATTTTAAATCCCGGGAACCACTAATATGAATTTTGACTGATGGCTTGCTGACGGGTAGAGACAGAGAGTAAGAGAGAGATCTGATCTAACCTCTCTCTCCACATACACACACACACACACTCACACACACAGAGGCAAGGGTGGGATTCAATAACAACCGGTTCTTGGGCGTGGCCTAATTTGTGGATGTGGCTTGGTGGTCATGTGATTGGCTGGGCATTGCTTGTATGTAAATATTATAAATATTTATGTAAATATTGAATTTTTTTTATATAAAAAAGCAACTTTTACCCAAAATCAGGCAAAGCAGGCAGGCAGATTGTGTTGCTCACAGAATCACAGATTCAGAGATCTATCTTTCTGCCATCGGCTACCTGAGTCTGTCACATAAAATTTGCTTGCAAGCAAACTCACAAAATTAACTCACAACACACCATGTATGTAAATATTGAATTATTATTTTTTTAAAGAAACTTTTACCCCAAATCAGGCAAAGCAGGCAGACAGATTGAGTTTCTCACAGAATCACAGAATCGCTTAGACATCTGTGCTTCTGCCATTGGCTATCTGAATCTGCACTGAATAATAGAACCTTCAGTCCTAAGGGAGGTTCAGCTCTGCTTAAAAGCAGAGCTGAAGATCTAAAGATTAGCTAAAAAGCAAGAAATCCAATGATTTCCTGCTTTCTAGCTACTCTAAATCTCCTGGCACAGCAGAACAGCTAATGATCGGGAAAAAAGAAAGGAAAAATAGCAACTTAGCAGGCAAATTTGCCAGGTAAGGAGTGAGTGGGTGGGGACGGTTCCCACAGGCCATGTGGGCAGCGCAGCCTTGTGTTCCCGGGCAGCCTGGATTAATTGCTTTGGGGGGGTGCTCTGAAGGTGACATTTCTCTGCAGACCACCAAAATTTTCTCACGGACCACCAGTGGGCTGCGACCCACCAGTTGACGACCACTGATCTAGTGGTATCAAGGAACAGCCCATGATGTTTTGTGCTGTGCTCACAACCCTCTGTAATGTCTTTTTATCCGTGGCTGTCAAGCCAGCATACCACACCATAATGCAATATGAGAGGACGCTTTCTATTGTGGACTGGTAAAAGGAGGTCATCAGTCATTCTTCCACTTTATTGTTTCACAAGACCCTAAGGAAATGGAGTCTCTGTTGGGCCTTTCTGGCCACCTGGGTTGTGTTGATTTTCCAGATGAGATCTTTGCTGAGGTAGACTCCCAGGAATTTAAAGGAGGAAATTCTCTCCACACAGGCCCCCTCAGTGTAAAGTAGGGTGGGTTCCTCTCTCTTCTTCTGGAAGTCTAACACCATCTCCTTTGCTTGCTGATGTTTAGGTGCAGGTTGTTTTCTAGGCACCATGAGGATAATTTTTGAACCTCCCCCCTGTACACTGTTTTGTCTCCACCTGTAATAAGACCCAATACGGTAGTATCATCTGCAAATGTAATGATCATAGTGGATGGCTCAAACGATACACAATCATCTGTGTACAGTGAGTACAGGTAGGGACTGAGCACACAGCCCTGTGAGGAGCCAGTGCTAAGCTTCAGGGAGGTGGATGTGACAGACCCAGCCCTCACTGTGGTCGCTCCCTCAGAAAGTCTTTGATCCAGTCGCAGATGGAAGAGGGAAAATCCAAGTCAGTCAGCTTTTCGATAAGGATGCTCGGCAGGATAGTATTGAAGGCCGAGCTGTAGTAAATGAAAAGCATCCTAACATAGTTTCCGGGTTTCTCCAGATGGCTCACTACAGAATGTAAGGCAGTAGCTACAGCGGCGTCTGTCGACCTGTTCCCCCTGTAGGCAAACTGATGTTTGTCAAAGTCTGGTGGAGGCATGTCCTAAGGTGTTGGAGAACCAGTCTTTCGAAGCATTTCATCACTACTGATGTTAACGCAAGAGGTCTGTAGTCATTTAGACAGTTAATTGCTGTTTTCTTGGGGACTGGGACAATAGTGGCTGTTTTCAAGCATGATGGGACACAGGCCGTTTGCAGGGAGATGTTAAAGATCTTTGTCAGGACCCCTGCTAATTGATGGTCTTTACCACTATCCCCAGCACCCCATCTGGACCTGCAGCTTTCCTGGGATTCACAGCCTTCAATGCAGCTCTCACTTGATGTTCGTATAGGGTGACTGGCTGGGAATCAGAAGGCTGGCAGGCAGAAGCTACGGGGTCTGGTCTGGGCGAAGAAGATGTTCAACTCCTCTACCACCGAGGCGTCAGCATTGACTGTGTTCCTCATGTTGCCCTTATAGTTAGATGCTGCAGTCCCTGACACACTTGCTTCAGGTTGTTATCTGCTAGGTGATTCTCCACCTTATATTTGTATTGTTGTTTTGCCATCTGAATGCCTCTTCTAAGGTTTGCCCTGGCCTCTCTCTATATATCCCTGTCCCCTGTCTTAAAGGCAGAATCCTGGGCTCTCAGAAGTTTCCATACCTCGGCAGTCATCCAGGGTTTACAATTCCCATAGACTCTGATGCAAGTACATACAACTTGGGTTGAAAGCTACTGCTAAAGCTACAATTAACCCTGCTTGCAACCACATGGACAGCTGGATTCAGCCATTCAAATAAGTCTAGATTCAGTATCTGCAGGGCTCAGCACGTTGTGTGAATGAACTTAACACCTAAAGCAAAACCTTGATTGATTGAAAAGAGTTTGCTGAATTTGCTAAGCTGATACACGCTGCAGTAACCACAATGCACAAAATACGAGTAGTTTCGACTTAACAATCACAACTGACCCCCAAATTTTGGTTGCTAAGTGAGACAAATCTGGATTCCTTCATTGACTTTTCTCATTGAAGCTGGCTGGGAAAGTTGCAAATGGTGATCACTTGACCCTGGGACACTGCAACAGTTATAAATACCATTATTTACCATTATATATAAGACAGGTACTCCTGGGCTTACAACCACAATTGAACCCAAAATTTCTGTTGCTGAGTGAGGTATGTGAATTTTGCTCCATTTTACAACCGTTCTTGCCACAGTTGTTAAGTGAATCACTGCAGTTGCTCAATTAGTAACACACCTATAAAGTGAATGTGGCTTCCCCACTGACTGTTTGCCAGAAGGTAGCAAAAGTTGATCACATGACCCCAGGACACTACAATAGTCATAAATGCGAGTCAGTTCCCAAGTATCTGAATTTTGATCATGTGACCATGGGGGATGCTGCAACGGTCATAAAGGTGAAAAATGGTCATAAGTCCCTTTTTTCAGTGTTGTAACTTCAAATGGTCACTAAATGAATTGCAGCCCAAACCACTGGCGGGCCACAACACCAGAGTGTTATGCCAAGGAGAGTTGCACACATTAATTTAGCTAAAGCAGCATATGACATTTCTCCTTACATACAATTAATTTACAGGAAGTCTTATTACATCCTGCTAAGCTAAAAGGGCCTCTCATATTAGGCTGCAAAGATCTAAAAGATTATTAGTTGGTAATAGAAAGCTAAAAAAAGTTTATATCTCTTTGCTATCGTTTTACTGTCTGGATTCTTGCAGCCCAGATATAGCAATCCTATATTATTTATTTATTTATTTATTGAATTTATATTGCCACCTATTCGCGCAAGGCGACTCAAGGCGGCTTACAGAATATAAAATCACATTTAAAACAATTAAAAACTAACAAAAAGAGTCAAATACATTAATATAGTACAATATAACAAAATCACTCCCCAACTCCCGTCCTCAACTTAGAACAGAGGTCGTATTCAGCAGGTTCTGACCTGTTCTGAAGAACCGGTAGTGGAAATGTTGAGTAGTTCAGAGAACCAGCAAATATCACCTCTGACTGGCCCCACCCCCATCTATTCTCCGCCTCCCGAGTCCCAGCTAATCGGCTGGGTCTCCTTTTGTTGCCCTGCACAGGAGAACGGAGCTGGAAAGCAGGTTAGTGGGGTGGGGAGGGAATGGGGATTTTGCAGTATCCTTCCCCTACCATGCCCACCAAGCCATGCCATGCCCACAGAACTGGTAGTAAAAAATGTAGAATCCCACCACTCACTTAGAACCATTCATTTAATGACAGTTCAAAGTTACAATGGCACTAAAAACAGTAACTTATAATAGTTGTTCATATGACTATTTCAGCATCCCTGTGGTCACATGATCAAAATTTGAAAGCTTAGCAACTGGCATGTATTTATGATGGTTGCGGCATCCCGGGGTCATGTGACCACCTTTTGAACCTGACAAAGTCAATGGGGAAGCCAGATTCACTTTATAATCATGTTACTAAGTGATTCACTTAACTGTGGCAAGAAAGATCATAAAATGGGGTAAAACTCACTTGTCTTGCTTAGCAATAGAAATCTGGGGCTCAATTGGGGTAAGTTGAGGACTACCTGTGTTGCGTTATTACAACCTGGCCTCTTTATCAATGAGTGACCTGAGCAGCTCCAGCAAATACAGTATTTGGGGAAGGATTAGAATAGGAGAAAAGAATCCTTGACATTTTTGGACTTAACTGATACTTGTGAAAAGAAAGTTATGAACACCTGCCAATGTTCTGAGGTTTTAGCTAGATAGACCTTTCAGTCAAAGGCAAGGCACAGCTGTGGTCTTTTAAAAAAATCTTATCTAATAGGCAAATACTAGTCCAACAGTTTCTAAAAGCGTCCTGAAAATAATCATTTTATGCTCTGTCCTTTGTGTCAAAAACATTTTATGCTGCAGAACACTAGCCTTTTGGCCCAAATAGCACTTGGACCAAAGGCTTTCATTATGCAAAACTGACAAAATAACCAGGACAAACATAAATGTCCATAACAAAATGTTTGGCCCCTGACTTGATCTCATTATTTATTTGGGCAAATGGATAATGAATTGTTCCTTGAGTTTGTGTATCTTGAGTGACTAAGGTCCATTGGCCCTTTGCCGTATGTCATTTTGCTGCTATTCCCTCACTTAAATTGAGTGTTGGCATTTGACTGGGGAATTGAGGCAGGATATAAAGAAGAAATGTATTGCTTTTAGAAATATTGTTCAGCATTTGGCAAATGAAAGATCAACTTTTGGAGCAATAATTCAGCAACAGAAAAAATGGGATTATTTAAAATTATATTTTAATCTACAGTATTTCCTCTTTCTACTGGGCCATTTTAGAGGGACTACATTGAAATAAGCAAGATTAAAACAGCATAGCCAACTCACTAAATTCCATGGCAGAATTAAGGTAGATATTTGATTACTCTAACCACTAGCCACACCATAGTAGTTTGTATCCATAAATCAGGCTGGGAAGTGGTTGCAGCTTTAAATGGCTCATTCGTTACACAAGTTAAGTAATTACCAGGGTGGGGTTAGGAATTTAAAGGCAGCCCAGAAGGCAGTGTTCTAGTTGTGTTTCTAGTTTGTGGCTGAAGAAAGTTTGTGTGTGTATGTTCAGTTCTAGTTAGGTAAGTACAAGAATAATAGCACTGTGTTCTGAATTATTTGTGTTGTTGGTTTTAAGACTGAGGTGTAGCTGGCTTGTTCCATAGGCTGCTACATATTTAGCTTCCATATGTGTTTTTCCTGGATATAATTTACAGCTTGTGCTACAATGCAGTTTGTTTCACAAGACGAAATTGGCTGGCTTTTCAATGAGCTTAACTGTGGTTTGCAAGACAAGCAAACTTTTAAGCCAAAGCATGCTAGACTTAAGAGTTCAGTGAAATGTGCATACATTACAATTCTTCTACTCTAAATTGTGGTTTATTTGGTAAACCACAAGCTGTGGCTTGTTGCAGCATAAGAGGCAGGCTGCTGTGTTTTGAGTAGGTGGTGGAAAGAATATTTAAGATTCTATGTTTTTGAAGGTGATAGATTTTGAAGGTGATAGATTTCAGATTTATTTATATATTTGTTTGAGGTAAAATTAAAAAGAGTTGTGTCTGACTGCTGATCATTAAATTGCTGTATCTGTCAATGTAGCTAAATGTCTTAGGTGTGTTGCTTTATTAAACATTCTGGTTTGTCAAAAAAGATTCCTTTAAAAGGGATGTGGGGGTATGTCCTCTTTTTTTTTTTTTCCTTTTGGCATGGTGAATTGGAGATGCAATATTCAATGAAAATACTTTCTAAACTGTTCTATACATTTAATGCTTTTGTAAATGGAGTAACCACTAAGCATGGTTACTCACAAAATGAGTCACCAAGTGACTGTCCCCTTTTTTCCCCCTGGCATTAACCATGTACACAAAGAATGAAAAGGTTAAAAAAATGGGTTCTTTCTGAAAAGTTTTCCTGCAATTTGTGGAGCCGACGATTGTCTCCAAATACACCCACCCAGAAAACTGATTTTTAGGCTTGAAACAGATTTTAAAGGCTTTATTTTAAAAGCTTCTCCTTTTCTTCCTTCCCTCTCCAGGCCCAAGAAGAACCGGACAGAAAGGCAGTCATTGTCCCAACCCCAACAAATTGGCAGGCTCTAGAAAACCCAGTATCCTTTTTCCATCTGCTTGTTTGGGAGTCTGTTTGGCCTCGGAGTTCAGAGTTTTCCAGAATTTACAGTTGGTCGAGTCAGAGAAGGTTTAGAAATGCAGGCTGGTACGGTGTCAAAACATTTCATCTCATCGGGTGTCCAGCTTGTTACTGATGTTTTGACTAGTCTCCTGTCCAGCAGCTGGGAAATGGGAGATAGCTTTTCTCCAGAGGGGACTCAGGATGAGGGGAGCAGCTCATCTTCAGAGGACACGCAGTGGAGCCCTTTGCATTGGTCAAGATCCAGCATGCAGTTGGAGATAAAGCGCCTCCAGACATTTCGGTTCTGGCCGGTGAGCGTTCCTATTTCTCCAACGGATCTGGCAGCTGCTGGTTTTTATTTTGTCGGTCCTGCCGACACCGTCCAGTGTTTCTGCTGTGGTGGGTTGTTGTACAATTGGGTAGCTGACGAGGATCCTATGGTAGAGCACAAGAAATTCTTCCCCTCGTGCCTGTATGTCCAGGACAAAATGGTAGGAAATTGCCGACAGATGCCTTGGAGCGAAGAACACCATGACTGCATAGATGGTCAATTTCTTGGCATGCTACAAAGTTTAAATGTGGAGGAAAGCCCTGCAGGGGGTCAGCCAGAGTACCCATATATGGAGACAGAAGGAGATCGGTTGGTGTCGTTTGAGAATTGGCCATCTTACTCTCCAGTGTCTCCCCAGTTGTTGGCCAGAGCTGGCTTCTTCTATACAGGTATGTGAGAACTGCTTTTGCTGGGTATAACCCAGGTTCCATCTATGTTAATGTAGGGCTTTTGTTATTCCTGAAAGCCCTGGGAGTAGCTCATGAAACTGGTGGCCTTAATATTCTATTTTGTATTTATGTCTGTATTGAATGTATATATATATATATTTGCATCCCACCTTTATTTTTATAAATAACTGAAGGTGGGGAATATATTTAACACAAGTTTCTCCTCTTTCCTCCACAACAACCACCCTGTGAGGTGGGTTGGGCTGAAAGAGGGACTGGCACAAAGTCACCCAGCTGGCTTTCATGACTCAGGTGGGAAGTTGAAACACACTTGGAGGCCCCATTGGAGGCTTGCACTAAAGATGTTCCATTAAGAAGCCTGGTGCCTTAACCACTAAATTTTGTATAACTCGGAGAGGCATAACTAATGTTCCTGCCTCCTTATTTTCCCCACAACAGCCCTGTGAAGTGGAGTGGGTTAAGAATAATTTGTACAATATCACCTGGTTGGCTTTCATGCCTAAAAGAGGCTCAGGACACACAATCTCATTTGTAGTCTCTGGCACTTTTGTTCCACTGGAGACTTACTGTAAAGGTGTGCCATTAAAAAAGGAGAATTTACAGTTGCTGTTAGATGTGTCTACAGCAACCTGCAAATGGTTCCCTATTAAAGAGCAGAGAGTATAATGTGGACTGTGGAAATTGTTGGCAATTTGCACCTGTCATAGACTTTCTATTTCCTTTGGGAGGAATCCTTTCTTCCAGAGGTGTGCAGCACCTCTCTCCTCCCCCTTCTCCTAAATATTTGGCACCCTATGGAAAATAACACATAGCCGTAGCTTCAGCTGAATATTGAATTTGTAAAGTTGCCCATTTCAACAAGTGACTCTGGGCAGTGAGCAATAACACATTTTTCCCCCCTGCTGCCAGAAAAGGAAGGATTTTTCCATGGAAGTGAATTTACGGGTGCAGAAGTTTCTCTAACCTGCCATCGGTTTTGAACTCTTCGGTGTAACATTTTGGCGATGGTATGCAGGCTTGCAAGCACCTCTTGAAATAGCAAAACAAACTAAAATGGGGGAATACTTCAGGCTTTGGTTACTAGGAATAGAATTCAATTCTGTCCGGCTTACCTCTCTTCTCCTCCACCATTTCCCATGTTAGAATGTCTTATATTCTGTACGGCTATATAGGCATCAGGCATCATGTCCTAAGTGAAAAGTGAATCTGGCCTTGTCACCCCTTGATTGGATATAAAGATAGATGGACTTTGAGTGGATTTCCTGAATTCTGGACCAATTCTTCGTTTCGTTTGCTTGTTACTATTACTGGGCCCAGCAGCCAGAAAAATCATAACCATCAAAAGCTGTAGCAGGAAGGGTAGTAATTAATCCATGGCCAGAGAATTCTGGGAGTTGAAGTCCACAAGTGTTAAAGTTGCCATGTTTGGGGGTCTCTGTTTAAAACTATGGCAGGGATTAATTACTGGCAATGATTTTTGTTGGTTTGTTTCTGTTGCTCTTGACCAACATGTTGATCTTTTGTCATGGATGTTTTCAGGCCAACAAGATTATGTGCGGTGTTTCTACTGTGATGGTGCCCTGAGGAACTGGGAACAAGGGGATGATCCCTGGATAGAGCACGCCAGGTGGTTTCCAAGGTGATCCATTCTGAAGTACCTATTTTTCTTCCATCTTCCATATCTTGTAGGAACTGACATGGGCAGGCTTTTTTGGGCCCCGAGGTTCAAATGATCTCTTGGGTGTAACTGATAATAGGGAGGGAGGAGAACCACACACTCCTTGGATTGAAGGATTGTGTCAGCCATGGCTGTTCCCCACCATTCAGTTAGAACAGAAGAAGCTTCTTGGAGAAGTGAAACATTTTTAAGGGAAAAAAACCAAAAACAAACGTCCAATTGCCTTTTGGGAAAAACACCCTTGGGACCACCATGATCTGCGTGCCTGAGAATCCCCATAGACAGATCCAATGGAAGAGATAACATTTTATACCTCTATGTTGCAATTTGGTACTAAGTCGCAAACAATATTTACAACTAACCTTTTATCAGTCTTCTCCCTTACCCCTCTTACCCCAACTTCCACAGATGTGCATTTCTGCTCCAGTCCAGAGGGAGAGATTTCATAAACCACACTCAAGAATCTAATGTAATGTTGGTGAGTAGGCATGCCTCTTCTGATTACAGATTAACAATTGGAAGGGACCTTGTAGGTCATCTAGTCCAACCCCCTGCCCAAGCGGGAGACCCTACACCATTTCTGACAAGTGGCAGTCCAGTCTCTTCTTGAAAGCCTCCAGTGATGAAGCTCCCACAACTTCCAAAGGCAACTTCTGTTCCATGGGTTGATTGTTCTCCCTGTCAGAAAATTTATTCTTCCTTGTTCAGTTTCCATCCATTATTCCTTGTCTGACCTTCAGGTGATTTAGAAAATAGCTTGACCCCTTCCTCCTCTCTGTGACAGCCCCTCAAATATTGGAAGACCGCTATCCTGTCTCCCCTGGTCCTGTATGACTGTAGCTTAAATAATACCCGATGCTGTTAAAATGTGTAACAGGGGCTCTCTTATTATCTTATTGTGGGTAAAGTGACTGTCCTCCTGGCATGTGTTGGAGGGGGTTCTTCCTCTCTGAGATAATACCCAGCCGGGTTTTGGATTTGGCACCAGGGTTGGGGTGGCAGTTTATCATCTAGGAAGTTTTGGAAGCTTTACAGTGCAGCTAACTTGGATGTAAGATCCTGTGGTTTAAACTTGGGTTCCAGGGAACAATTTGGCTAGTGGTTGCTGTTATGTCCTCCTTGTTGCCCAGTGACATCCTTGACCTAACTGCTTGAATCCATCAGCAAGCTGGCAGTGGAATCCCCCAAGACCCCCTAGTACCGGGCAGGAGTGGGCTTCAAAAATTTTAGCAACAGGTTCTCTGCCCGGTTGCTGGGTGGGGCGTGGCCTCGTTGGCCTCCTGCACCACAGCCAGGGGTGGGGATTTTTGCCTTCCTGGGCTCTGGAGGCTTTCCGGAAGCTCTCTGGGAGGGCAAAAATGGCCTCCCCAGACTCTGGAAGCTTTCTGGAAGCTGGAAACGGGCCCATTTCCGGCCTTCCCGAACTTTCGGGAGGCCCATTTTTCACCCTCCCTGAGCCTCGGTGCATGCCTTGCACTTACCTGCATCCAAAATGGGCCACGTGCAGACTCCTGGGAGGGGAGGGGTGAGCGGGGCCAGCCAGGAGTGGGATTTGGGGGTTCTCTGAACTGCACAGAATACCTGCAAACCCCCAGCAGCCCAGCCCTGGTACTGGGAGTACTGGTACTGGAATCATGCCTGATATGGCTCAGGCAGGGGTGGGATTCAAATTTTTAACAAGCGGTTCTGTGGGCGTGGCTTAGGTGGTGGGTGTGGTTTGGTCATGTGACTGGGTGGGTGTGGCTTGGTGGTCATGTTATTGGCTGGGCGTGGCCAACTCAATATCACTCACATCGAGGCACGCATCTCCTCACCTGGCCTCTCATGACTGTGGGGATGCTGCAACAGTCGTAAGTGTGAAAAATGGTCATAAGTCACTTTTTTTCAGTGCCATTGTAACTTTGAATGGTCACTCCACACAAGCAAAGTACTAGCAAAGGAGGGGGGGGAAAACTCCAGAGAAATTCCTGAGACAGGAAGTCTAGTCCTGCCAAGAATGTAATAAGGGTTAATGGAGAGGCAGTTTCTGTAAGCAACACCAGAATGTTTCCTTCCTGCCTTCCTTACAGGATTAGGCCAGTAATTCTAACAACCAGTTCTCTGAACTGCTTAGGATGTTAACAACAGGTTCTAGCGAATAGGTGCAAACTGGTAGAATCCCACCCCTGGGCTCAGGGGTTCATGACCTTTATGACAGACATAGACCTGACCAAGTTGCTGAGGGCCCAACACCTATAAGTAGTCCATATGCTAGGTCTCCTTTATTTTTACTCCAAGCAGCTGCAACTTGATTGGAAGGTGAAGGATATCACACAATCACTTTGTGATATTCAAATCTCTCTCTAATTGATGTTTGGGTTGCTGATGCTTCCCTTTCCATGTAGGGAGATAAGACCTATTTAATTGGTCTGTTCTGATTGACTAACATTCTGGGTGGGTTCCAAAACCTGTTTTTTCCTCTTTAGCCTGTGGATGTGGACAGTTTGTTCAAGGCCTTTGTCCCTTCCGCCTGGAAGGGAGGCATGATAAAGATCTCCAACTGGATTGCTCCCATATGACCTTTGGAATTCCCTGGTTTTCTGATGAGTTTCAGGGGATT